GGGTCAGAGGGAGAAGCCGACTCCCTGCTGAGCAGGGAACCTGATGTGGGACTCGATCCCGGGACTCCAGGATCATGACCTGAGCCGAAGGCAGTTGCTTAACCAACTGAGCCACCCAGGTGCCCTTCATTTTAGGGCAATTCTATTGAGTGAAAAGGTAGTTAATTTTTGGAAGACATCTATTTATAAATATGAGAAATGAGATTGAATTGGTCTTGGTTTTTATTTATATGCCTGTATTGCTTACTGTGTGCGAAGTATGTGCTTTGTATACATTACTCTTGATCTTAACAAAGACTGGGGGGTAGGTACTTTATTCTCTTCATTTGATAGATCAGAAAACTAAGGTACAAAGAAATTAGGTCTTTACCCACGGCTAGCTACACAGTAGTTAATAGGGTTGGGATTTGAACTCAAGCATATTTGAGTCTAGTGTGTAGATTCTTCATGATTATACTGTTCTACTTCCTAAGTCATCGCACTGATTGTTTCTGTTATACTTCCAGTTTTATATAGACCCATATAAACTGTTACCACTGCAGAGGTTTTTACCTCGACCTCCAGGTGAGAAGGGACCTCCAAGAGGTGGTGGCAGGGGAGGTCGAGGAGGAGGAAGAGGAGGTGGAGGTGGCCGAGGTGGTAGAGGTGGTAAGTTACTTTTGGGGGAAATTTTCTAATGGGATTTCAAAGTTGCAGCCAATTCATACAGTACAATTTAATTTTTTATATAGGCAAACCTCCTTTATGCTTATTTATTTTTTTTAGAAAAGCTATTTTCAAATCTTAGCAGATTGCTGTAGTAATAATGCTCAGTTTCAATAACTTATTTAAGAAAAATCTAATAAAATATAATTTTGAGGGATTTTATCTCTTTGGGGTTATTCATGTTTTGTTGAGCATTTTATAAAGTATAAGATTATCTTGACTGAATTTAATTTTTTAGTTAATATTACTGGGTGTTGATTATATGCTGAGAGCTGGTCATATTCTTTTAATATTCACTCAAACCTTGTGAGGTAGGTGATAGCCTTATTTTAGATGAGGAAATGGGAGGCTTACAAAAGTTAATTTGCCCTTATCAAACAATTGGCCATCTAAAAATAAAACCCCTATCTTCTGATGTCATGTTAAAGACTTCCCCATAAATATTGCTTTGATTTCAGCATTTTGATATATGTATTTCCTCAGAGTTTTGGTACATTGATCATTATGAACAGGGTTGGGAATAAGGTGCGGTGCAGCATAGAGTATACCTAGATCTGTGAGTAGTGGTGTAGTGGGTAGGTGACAGGATGATGGCAGAGCCTAAGTGGTTAGGAAGGGGACCCGAAAATTGGTTGGATATCTTCTGTTACTGAAGCAGAAAGGAGAGAACTCTGTTTTCACCTTTGCCTTTCTCGATTTAATTATTTCATTCTAAATATGCTTTTTTGGGTCCATATAGCTAGGAGATAATCTCTTTAAGAAATCTGAATATATGTCTATTAAATATTTTGAGAATCTGATGATTCATTCCCATTCTATATTCAGTCTCATCTATAACACTGAAAAAAAATTCACTCCCCCTAGCTGCTACCCTTGGTTCTTAGGATAAAATGCCTTAGTTCAATCAAAAAAGTAAGCAAAAGTTGAGGTACTCCTACACTTAACAGTAGGGCTAAATGGAACTTTAACAAGCTTTTGTAATTCATTAAAACAATACTTGTTTAAAAAGTTGTAATCTAGGGTGTTAGGCTTATCAAAATAGCATAGGCTACAGTAGTTTTATAAACATTTCCTTTATTTTTAGGTGGTTTTAGAGGTGGAAGAGGAGGTGGAGGTGGAGGCTTCAGAGGAGGAAGGGGTGGTGGTGGTTTCAGAGGTGAGTGTGAAAAAAAAATCTTTGAATCACTGAATTTCTGAATTGGTATTATCTACCATTTTAAATTTTTATTCGGTCTTATTTTGGTTTCCCGAGTATATAGAACACCATTGCTTTAGGCTAATTTATAGCTTCATTTTTATATCACTTTCTTGCTTTCCCCTTTGAATTTTTTCACCTACATCTAATTTGTTTTGCTGTATTAATTTGAAAAATAAAAAGGTGTGTAATATGAATGACAGTAAAATTTGGTAAATTGGTTGTCTAACCAGTATAAGAAGAGATTTTAAACTTGAGATTTCGGGTATAGTGCTATTAAAAATTTATTTTCTGTAGCCTTAATACTTTCATTTTCTCTTAATCAGGGAGAGGACATTAAGTGTAACAGTTGACAAACTTCCTGCATGATCTACTTCTATGGATAAGAAACTTGTTTCTTGAGCAAGTCTTGAAGAACTGGTCATTTTCTGGCAGTGGGACTAAAATGTCAACGCCATGCAAAAATGAGTGCAACAGAATATGCAGTTTTGCTCTAAAAGAGTATGAACAAATGTTTTAATGTTTTGTACAATGCTTGGAACTTTGTGGGTGCTTAATAAATGGGCAGTTTTCATTTGAAGCATACTTGGAATTTTTAAAATAAAATGTTTTATTTCTTTAAGTTAGAGCAGCTGTGTTTATTAAAACAGAGCTATTTTTGAAGTTAAAAGGAATAACTAAACTTAAACTCAGTGGATTTCAGATAGGAAAAATGATTTGTTAACATATATAACTGATCTTTAAAAAAGTAGGTTAGGGGAACAGTAATGTTATTTATAAATTAACACCCCCTTTCAAAATCTTTGCCTTTTGTATATGAAAACATCAGCACCTTTTATTTCATTTCACTTGTGTACGTTAAGAGTAACTAAAGCAGTTTCTTTAATTTCAATTAATAATTGATTAGCAAATTATAGTGTTGATTATGAATGTATTAAAGTTGGAACAGCTCTGTTCACGTGAGAACTGAAGTTCAAGTAATTTCTGGAGAAATGTTCAATTCTCATTCAACAATCTTAGATGGGATCTTGAAAGTTTGACTGAATGTTTTTATTTTATTTTTTTTTTAAAAAAATCTTAAAAGATGTTATTTATCATAAGAAAAGAAGAGATGTTATTCATTAGAAATAAATACATGTTCAGAGTCCTGGGTAGGGACATTGCAAATGAAATTGATTTTTGATCCCTACTGCTAGTGTAGTATCAAGAAGTAACTATGATAGCAAGTTAGAATGCTGTGATAATGGAACCATTTCCCTGCCATTGATTTCCCCCCCAAACACACATATTTGTTCTCAGAAAGAATGATGTTTCCATCTTTCCTTAAATTTTCTAGGATGCTGTACCTAATATTAATACTTGGTTAACTCTGGAATGCTTGTTTGAGTAGCATATAGTATTGTCTCTGTCAGTAATTTGGGTTTTACTTATCTTTTTTGATTAATGGAATTGCAGCAGAATTAATAAATATATATGATGAACAAATATGCTGAAAATTACTTTTTCGGAAAATTACTTTTGGAATCTAATGAGATTCACTTTCCTAATATAGATGCTCTTTGGAGTATTTACATTTATAAAATTTTGTGTACTGGTAGCTATAAGATCTGGGACAGATCAACCTGGCTCAACTTCATTTTATTTTTTAATTCTTTTAAAAAAAGATTTTATTTATTTGAGAGAGAGAGCACGAAAGAAGACGAGTGGTGGTGCGGGCAGAGGGAGAGGGAGAAGTAGACTCCCCATTTGCAGGGAGCCTGAAGACCCGGATTGCTAACCCGGGACCCTGGGACCACGACCTGAACTGAAGGCAGACACTTACTCAACTGAGCCACCCAGGCGCCCCTCAACTTCATTTTATTTTTTTATTTTTATTTTATTTACTTATTTATTTATTTTTAAAGATTTTATTTATTTGACAGAGACACAGCAAGAGGGAACACAAGCAGGGGGAGTGGGAGTGGGAGAGGGAGAAGCAGGCTTCCCGCTGAGCAGGGAGTCCGATGCGAGGCTCGATCCCAGGACCCCGGGATCATGACCTGAGCCGAAGGCAGACGCTTAACCATCTGAGCCACCCAGGCGCCCCTCAACTTCATTTATATGTAGCTGGAAGAATTGAGGCAAGGGATTATCTTGGGTCTTTCCTGCTGCGCCATTTTAGGAGTTATAAAATTAAATTAAGTGGGTAAATATAGCCCCCTAGTGGTTCTGTTACATGTTTACACTGTTAACTGGTGCATCTAGCATTTCTCTGAAGTTACTGATTTTGAAAAATTAACTTGAAAAGAATCAGATTTTAGTAATCATACATGACATAAAGAATATGGGGGGGGAGAAGTGGTAGGGATATCTTATTCTAACAATTTTCATGCTACATTATAACCCGTTTGTATAACTACTTTTTGGGTTATTACAGGGTGGTCCAGAATATTAGAATTGCTCTGTACCTTACAAGATGAATGATTGAATCCAGATTCTTTGCTGAGATATGCTATGATTGTTATTATCTGATAATTACTTGTGCATATCAAAGCATAGGGTAAATTAAGTAAAGTGGGCTGTGAAGTAGATCATATGTATCCATGCCATGAAATACAAGCTATTAATGTTAGACTTAGGTTTATTGGCCTGGAATTTATGATATGACTTTAGGGGAAAACAAGTTAACAGAATGATTTTATATATGCATATCTCCCCATTTTTGCTTAAAAGAAAAAAAAAAGTGGGAGAAACCTCAAATCCTAGTATGAATATATGTTTGTATAAGCAAAGAAAAACAGAAGATAACACACCAAAAAATACTACTACCTCTAAGGAAGTGAGACTTGGAAGGATGGAAGGAGATTACTTCTTTGTTTATGTCTGCTCATTCAAATTGTTATGGAAAAAGAAACAAATGGAAGAACTTGAAAGGCTCAGCAGAAAGCAGGGGCCTTAATCTGAAAAGTTTTAGGAGACGAAGCCTTGTTCTTAATTTCAGAACTGATTTCCAGCAGCAGTCAGTTAAGTCAGCTCCTGCTGATTTTGAGTTTGCTTATTGTTTGAATGGGAGGTATGTACTTGATAATCTCCTTAGATACAGGACTGATGCCCCAATTGTTTAAAATGTGTGGTGCTTGGTATTTCTTTTTATTTTGCTAATAAGCTTTTTCCTTGTTCTGGGAATTAAAATCCTTTCCTCTCCAGCCCAATTAAGTTTGTTAAGGGAGGGCCTCTATGAAAAGGCCCTTCTTCGAGGTCTGTAAGTGGAAATGATTGGTTCTGAAAATTCTTTCTTCATTGGTTCTTAAGATATCTCATAATTATTGAAGGCTCATTATGAAGGCTGTCTCAATTTCTTTCCTCCAAAATGTTAAGGAATAATTTAGACAACAGTACAGACTCTAAAAATGAAGATGGCTCTGTCTTTTCACAGACTGAACACAATATTGTTGCAGCTTACTTGATCACAGCAGGTATGGATGTTTACTCCATTAACCATTATTTTGTTTTCGAATGGGTGAAGAAAAGCAGAGGTTTTCAGCATAAGGTGGTAGAAAAAGCATGGGTTCAGAGATGTTTCAAGTTCCATGTTGTTGGCCAACAAGTCACTTATCCTTTCTGAGTTGGGGTGTGTGTGTGGGGTGCGCAAATAGGAGTAATAATACTTGCCGTATTTCTTGGCTGTATAGTAAGAGAATGTAGGTGAAAGGATAAATAAAGGCATTGTTAATGGTGGTTAATGTCACAAGTTATTTTGAATCTTGATAAACAATGTAACAGTAGTGAAGTGGGGCTAAGAAAAGTTTTCTATAAAATAATTCTTTTATAATCATCCATATATTTGGTTATTACATTGTCAAGTTTTTATTGGGGAAGAGTGTGTACCATGGCAAAAATGTATTTTTATGTCCTTTACTGCTCTCATACATCCTGTTCATAGTCTTGTCTTTGGTGGTGGAATCTAGTTAAGATGGAAAGGCCTTAAAAAGAAAATTAAAGTTGTAAAAAGAGCAGACTCTATTGTCACTGAGGACAGAATTTGAAAATTCAGCTCATTCCCAGAATATGCTGTATTGGAAAACTCTTGAGCTTTGGATTTCATCTTTTAGTATCTTATCTTTGCAACAGTAAGCAAGTTCCTTCAGCTTGTTCTTCCATTTTCTTATCTGGAAACAGGATAAGAATAAGATAACTGTCATGATTGTTGAGAAGAGTAATATTAAATGACCTAAATGACACATACAGTAGGTATTGGACACACATACTTGTTTCTTTCTCCCCACGTGTACACACTCATTGATGTATACGGGATTAAGATAAAGGCATGTTTTTGCAAAAAAGGGATGGGGGAAATAAAATAGAAGTTGTCTAATTATCTTTTTAATGTGTAAGTTGAATTGTATAAATTTTATATTGAGTAGTCACTTCATTTCCAACTTTATGCTCATTAATGAGTTTTAGAAGTAACTTAGTTATATTGGTTTATTGTCATTTTTTGGATTGACTTATGAAATTCTCAAATATATTCAAAGGTGGAGGGCAAAGTATCACAAATCCTACTATACACAGTATATTCTTTATAGTTGCTTAGTTTCCCTATAATTCACAATTACTTCTGTGCTAGAAACTGTGATTCTTCAGTTAATTTTTGTAAATTTTAGTGATATACTAATTTGTTCACTTGAATACCTCTGTATGATAAGTACTGGACAAGTTCTATTTTCTTTTTGATTTTTGTTGTTGCAACAGTATGAAAAAACAATATGCTAATTAAAGAGAAAATCTTATTACAACTACATAGAAATACTTTGTATACAAACTTTTAGTTTAGTTAGTTTTTTGTAGATGACCAAGTAAAGCTGTCTTTTTTGATCTGTTTACAAAAGTAGCATGCAAAGAAAATTTCTTGTTAAGTAATTGTTCTCTCTGGTTCTTATGCCCGTAGCAGAAACAATAATTGGAATTTTACTACCACTACTATGATGATGATCATCACCACCACCACCACCACTACCACTGCTATTGTTATTTGAATACTTGCACTGTTCTAAATACTTACACATACAGAATAATTCATCCTAACACACAGTCAGTAAGTGAGTTTTATCTTCCCTGTTTATACAGACGAAGAGTTTAAGTAACTTACCCAACACACACATGTAGCTACTAAATAGCTGCGCGAGGATTGAACTGAGGCATTTTGATTCTAGAGCCCTCATGTAACCTCAACAGTCAGTTTTATTAAGGAATACCTTGGGTATGTGTTATTTGTGGTTTTGGTAGATAAACTGAAGGGAGCATATCTAACCTCTTTATGCTTCTGTTGAAAGATTTATTGTTCTTTAGGTCCCCTAGTTTTCCCCTTTTAACGAAACCCACTTATATTTCCAAATCAAAACCAAAGCTATGAGAAGAAGAAATTTTATCAAGAGTTTATTAGATTTTTTGTTTAAATTTTAATTTTCAATTTAATATTTCTTTTAGATTTTAGCTCTTACAAACTTTTAGCAGCTCGAGCATTCTCCCTTTCTCCAGGTAAGGCTGGGAGGCAAGAGGACATGGTAAATTGAAGATCTGAAATACATTCATTCTGGATGAATTGTAAATTGAAGGGTAAGAGATACTAGGCTGCAGAGGAGGCTGTGTACCAAGTAATGAAGAATCGCCTAAGTCATAAAGCGATGAGGAGTCACTGAATGACATGATTCCATTTTGCATTTTAGAGATATGCTATAGTAGTAGCTAAGAGATCACATAGGAGGCCCCTGTGTGATTAAGAAGAATCCTGAGGCGGGAGAAGTGGCAATCGAGATAGAAGTAGATACGTTCAAGAGCCAGAAGTTAGAATTGATGGTTGGACGTGGCAATTGAGGGAGAAGGAAAGGGAGTGTCAAAGATGACAAGTTTTCTGTTTGGGGGCTCTGGTGGTTAGATGGTGAAGCTATTCACCAAGATAGGAATACATGTGGGGAAGAACAGGTTTGAAGAAGGAAGAGAAAATTCTCTTGGTTCGGTGTGAGAGATGTCCAGTAAAAAGCTGGACACGTGGGTTTGAATTTTATGAGCTCAATCTGGAAAGAAGCAGCACATAGCCTCGGATATGTATGAAATCACAGATTATGTGGTCAGTGTGAAAAGAAAGGGGGTCTAGGACGAGGCACATATTTAATAAGGTAGAGATGGAGAAAGCAAGGCCAGGGTGTAGATTAAGTAGGATCTGCCAAGAGATTGTAAGAAAGCCACAGAAATCAAGAGGAAATTAATTTAGACCTATTAAATGATCTATTGTCTACTCATGAGAAAATACCTGCAGTTAGGAAAACAGAACAGAGAGCTTGAGATAGCTGCTGAGCGAATAGAGAAAAAGGCCAAATTGTTTACTGCATACCCTCCATTATATCTAAGACCTCCCCCAAAGTACAGTTACTTTATTCTGGTTGTGTACTTGGTAGGCAACAACTTACTGTACTATGTTTTATTTGACTTTAAATATCGTCAATTAGTAGTTAGCTTAGAAAGATTCTTCAATTCAATAAGCTTTTTGGAGTATTTCTTGTATGTATGCTACAATACTTGATGCTAAAATTAGAGCCAAAGAGTGGCACCTGGCTGGGCTCAGTTGGTAGAGCATATGACTCTTGATCTCGGGTTTGTGAGTTCTAGCCCCATGTTGGATGTAGAGATTACTTAAAAATAAAATCTTAAGAAAAAATAAAAAGTTAAAAATAGAGCCAAAGAATCACCAAATTTGCCATCATTGTGCCTTACGTATGCCTTGCAGGAAAAGTAGAAATTAATATGAGTTTTAGTTGTGGTCTGTTTATCAAACAAATCTGCTATATGCCACATACTCATAGAACACAGAAGTCATTAGGAACCTGAAATCTGGATGAGAAGACTAGGAATATCTAAAAGTTAAATCTAGCATCACATAAGATGAATAATGTATAATATAAGCAAGCACTTTGGGAATTTAGAGAAGGGAGAATTACTGTGGGTAGGGGAAAGCTTTTCAGCAGAGCTGGGCTTGAATAGAACTTTGAAGGATGGTTAGCATTTGTATAGGTATAGGAAAAAAATAGGGTGTTCCAAGTGGGAGAGGCTTTACAACAAGCCTTGTGCGTTTGATAAATAATTAGAATGGATGGCTTGTTTGGCAAGTGTGGAAATTTGCTTAGAGAGGTGAAAACAGATTGAGGCAAAACCTGGATATCAGGTTGGGATGTGTGGGCTTTTATCCCACAGCCAATGGAGAGTATTGGAGCCCTGAGAAGAAACATGGCTAATTCTATGTTGTAGCCAGCTTATTCTGCCAACAGCACAGAGGGGAAAGAATAGGAATCTGGAGGATTAGTGTCACAGGATGCTAAAAAGTTTTACTGAGGTGCCAAGATATAATGGAAGTTCTTCCTCAGCTGATACTTTTGTGTGTTGGTGCTTGGAAACCTTCCCTCTCTACAATTGTTGGGGGCTGCTCACACCCCCACTGTTAGGACCTAATATGGCCCCATCTGGCTTATAGGAAACTTATGTATCCTTTGCAGGATGTAGAGGTTGTTAATTGGGCTAACATGAGTGGTTCATTCAACAATACCACTCATTATATACTAATACACTGCCATTCTGATTATGAAGTTCAGTCATCTGTCTACCTGAATCCAGCCCATTCCAGGGCATTGACAACAGTGAGTTTCTGGACCTCCAAGGCTAACAGATCCCAGACTGTGGAACCTTGACTAGGGTGGTATCACCTGTGAGGCTTCTCAATGTACATAAAAGCCAGCCCGATTCCCTTTCCGAATAGTCAAACCTTGCAGTGTGCTTTCTGCAAGGGAGTTTCCATGTGTGCACGTTGGACGAGGTACTCAGATTTGGACATGGTGAGTTTCCAGAAATACTGGAACAGTCGTATGATCTTATACATGGTAGATCCCTAGTAAATGTTTAATGGCAATGAGTTGAATGCAAAGGGATATGGAACTGGAGCATGGGTCAGGGCTGGAAAGTGACAGAAGAGCTGTTAGGGTAGAAAGATAGTTGAGGCTTGAGAAAGCAAACTATAGAGAAAGAAAAGCCTCGGGCCTCAGGAAGGAGCAGGAGAGAGACTGCCAAAAGAGGTGGTATGGTCACACATATATCTTAAAAATCAGCAGAGGTGGTCTCATGGAAGACGGGAGGAATTTCAAGGGCAGCATGATTAATAGGGAGGACATTAAAACCAGCCTGCAGTGCTCTGTATGCAATTGGTAGAGTCTTTGTTTAAATTTTCTTATTTCCATTTCACAGAAGGGCTGGGAAGGTATTACAACCAGTTTTAAGAACAGTTGGAGCTCCTCACATAAGTGAACTAAAATGGATTTGCTGTTATTGAAGGGGCTTAAATATTTAATTTGGATACTACTTTTAAACATTCAAATTAAACAGAGTGGTTTGTGTGTGTGTGTGTGTGTGTGTGTGTGTTTTCTTTTGTCTGTGTTCTCAGGTATAATAAGTATTTTCAGCAACCTAATAGTTCTGGGCATCTTCATTAAGTACAAGGAACTTCGGACACCCACAAATGCAATTATCATTAACCTGGCTGTTACTGATATAGGGGTCAGTAGCATTGGCTATCCCATGTCTGCAGCTTCAGATCTGTATGGAAGCTGGAAATTTGGATACGCAGGATGCCAGGTATTGGAGATCTTTGGAATGAAAGCAAAATAAAATATTAAAGAGATGTAAATTTAAATGTCTAAAAAAAGAAATCCCAAGGGATTCAAATAAGATCATGTAGGATAATAGATAAAGTGCTGAAAATAGTTTCAGAAGTGACTGGGAAATGTATTACTTAATAAAAGAGAAATGACATTGGTAGTATTCATTATATTTTCAAAATTTCCCTAACCCAAAGGAAAAAAACAAAAAATCAGCATTCAGCTAGAGAAGAAAGAAGTAAAAATTTGCATATTCAAAAACTTGCATATTGCAAATTCAAAAAGAAATATCCTGTTTTCATTGGAACGATAAACTTTAATGACAATATCATAATATCTAAGTAATGTAGTTAAGCTACCAGTTTTTTTCCCCCTATGGACAGTCCTCCAATGGACTTGCAATTAATTATATCCATTATTAGTTTTACTGACAAGGAAATATATTAATATTAATTCATATTAGGATAGTA